TGATAGAGCGCTAGTAGATTTATACTAAAACTCGATAGGAACACGGTGCGTGTTTTTCTATTTCTTAAATATTGGTTTTATTTTAGATTTTAATTTAGGTCTTAAAATACTTATAATAAGTCTTTTATAATTCTTAATCGAGGGCCACAGGTTTATTAGTTGTTTTAACTATTAAGTGTAAACACTCTCTAGGTAAAGTTTGATTGATTGATTGATTGATTGATGGGTTCGGATCGAGCGGTCCACGCTCGACTATGCAAATTAGGCGATACTGGTTTAAACAAGGATTTATCTGCAAATACATGAATGGTCATCGTAGTTATGTACTTAACTTAAAGGAGTTGAGTCATTTAGTTTAGCCACGTACAAAATTACGTTTACTGAATTGGAAGAAACCTTAAATAGTAGTTTACCAAGATAGAAAATCACCGAAGAGATAATAATAGACCATAAAGGAAAAAGGATGGTTAAGGATGGAGAAGAGTAACACGGATTAAAAACAACGAACTTGAAACTGTTAGGTGTAACTTTTCAAGATTCAGAAACCTTGACATAGCTCCTTTAAGAGCTTTTAAGATCTTTATCATATTCAAAGATTTCCCCATCTACACGTGGTCCACCATAGTGTGACGTCATCGAGATGTTCTTGCGTCACAAAGAATCCAGGAGAAAAGCAGAGACAACACGGTTAAGCACAGCATTACCTGAAACCGAAACAATCAGACTAATAAACAAACTATAACGATCATGGCAGGGAGACATGAACAGTGAATAGTTTTTAGCACGAACACACACTTGAACTACCTAGGACTGCGTGTAAGCTTTAGTGGTGTCTCACTGAGTAGCTAATCCAGAGGTCATTTCTAAAGACCGAGCTGTTCAGAAGCGGGATTGAGCTGATCCAGGATTAGATTCAAATCCAGTTTTCCTTTAAGTTGACATTGACAATTTCTCTCAGTGTTTGTTGTCTAACTTTAGGCAATGTCGAATTGTTATTAATAAATACAAATTAGCTAATTTAAGAAATCTTTGAGATAACAGACATAACCACTTTGTTTCACTTTTAATCCTAGATAAGTCTACATTTTGATTTCAGTTTTGCAAATTTTGAAGTGAGTTGTTCTGTTTATACTTTGTCCCATCTAGTTTTGAATCTGGCAGATCTCAAACCCTACAAAACTGGCCGAAGAAGCCGGTAATAATTACAGTCTCGAATAACTTCGAATGCATGGTTCGGTTTTCGAACGAGCTGTTTTGAAGAAGCGCAGGATCTTATATGTTCTCTTGCCGAGGGCGGGAGCAAAATAAAACCACAGGGGGTGGTGGGACGCTTGAAAGAACGCGAACGCTAGAGTAGAGACAGTCTAAAAATATCATACTTACCACGAGATGCCCGTAAGGATTCACGGAATCAAAATTAAATCTGGCCAGCACAGCATTGCCATCTGTACTGATACAGTTCAATTTAGACTCGTAATCACAATTCAGATGAACATCTTTTAACAAGACTTTCGTGATGGCTGAGTAGCCATAGAACTGTGGATTGACGTAGAATAGTAAATTATATCTGAAAAAAAGAAACGAGCAGTTTGTTACTGCCATTCAGTTTTGAGAGTTTCCATTCTCTTTAAGGGTCTGCACAGACTATACAGTTGGCCAGAGTAGGGACTCAAGGTATCGATAACTAAATTTGTTTTTGTGATATCACGGGGGTAACTAGCATTCACTGCGCATGCCACAGTATAAGAAATCGCCGTCCAAAAATCACTGAAGATGGCTCAGTTTTTGACTAATGAATCACAGACAAGGACAAATTAGTTGTCAACAAATGTATCAACATCGAAAGTAGTTTTTATTGTTACATAAACAAAACTATACATTTGTTTATGATTTCTATATTTACAGGTTGCTTTACACACTGGCTCTTTAGCTATTGACAACTTTCTGTTATCGACAACTAGTTATAACTCTCGTTTCTTTAAAAAACCCTCTCTATTCCTTCGAGACCCCAAGGCAGAGTTCAAAAGAGGCTAACGAAATCGTCCAATAAATAAACAAACAAACAAACAAACAGGAAAAGAAAGTTGGCGATTTTCATCTAAATATAATTGATAACCAACAAAAAACGCGCTATAGGCATTGTATAGAATAGATACTCACCCTATCGGCATCTGATCTCGCGTGACAATGAACCCGCCAGAGAACCCTGCTAATATGGCTATAACGAGGCCTGCGTGACAAGCGTTACTTGGTGTAACGTAAGTGACCATCATGTACAACGCTATCCATGTTTGGTTTAACACCAGTGAAACGACAGTCACCAGGAAAAATCGCCACCAGTTATATGACGTTATTACCATGAAGTATGTTTGAACTGAGTTCGCGAGCACTGGTAACAGACAGGCAGCGGATGTGCTCAGAAATGTTTGTATCACGTGTTCATAGGAGTAACCGACATCTAGTGAAGATTCCACGCGACAGATCTGTTAAATTGATGATACAAATAACTTGTAATCGTTGACTTAAGATTTTTGCTCCGAGTAAACCACAAATGGAAATAAATTCAATGTTAACACAGCCACTACAGTACTAACAGGCCATTCCCTAGTTGCCTTTTGCCTCTGTGACAAACCTTCGTGCGAAACCATTCATATGAAAATGTGGTCTCCCTACAGGTTCATTTCATGTAAATCAAACTCCTTTCCATATGAAAGGTTTTGCATGAAGACTCGCTTGAAACAGAAGCACAAGGTAACTCGGAAATGGCCTATTTGAAAGCGTGTTCTTTTTTTTTTTCACTTACGTCCAGGCTCCTATTGATATGGTTCAGTACAACCGAGCTTAGAAAGAGTAGACTGGGGATAGACGCGCCACAGTAAGCCGTGATTATCTGCAAATGCGTCTCTGCTTGCCAGTAGATAATGCCAGCGGTTAATCCAAATACGGAGAACATGATTGGCAGATAAACTGCCTGACCCAGGGTGGACGATAACGAGGCTCTGTAGTCTATTACAAACAACCTGGTAAGGAGTCCACCATGATCCAAACTGCAAACAAGAAACTTCATTAGGAATTTATGAAGTACAAGCCAAGGCTTAGCGAGACTATATAAAATGTCAAAACGCTTGTTATAAAATGCTTCATGTCGATATACCTGTTCTGCGATCCTGGTAAAGTATGTTTCTCTCTTGTGTTCGAGTGCACGACGTCTTTTACGGCTGGTTCGAATTGCCTTTGTACTATCATCGCATCTTTTAGCCTCTTGTTTTGAAGGATATCTAAAATAATGTCTTTAAAAGGTTGAAAAGTCATCATGACGGTCAGTTTATACGCCAGAATCCTTCCACAGCTCGTTGAGCGAGTGTTGAGAGAGAATAAATAAAAGAGATGCTTGTAGTAGCGAACGTCAAATGCATACAAAATCGGCCTAAATTTACTAAGGAAGCGAACAAAATAGTTCATTCAGTGTTTTAAAGATCAGCTGGACCAGGTTGTTCCAAAGCCGAAAATGCAAACCCAGGATTAAAAGTTAACCGAAGTATTAAATTTTCTTGAATAAAATTGTTTTTGCCTGCTTATGTTTTGATTCGTTTGAAATTACTCTAGCTCAAAACTGAAGCACAAACGATAGAAACAGCAATCGTCATCGAAGATTTACAAAACTGAAATCAAAATTCTCACTAATTCTGGGTTAGCTTAATCAGGCTTTGAACAACCGTTGCGTTACTCGTAATTTAAATAAACCACAACCCGTTCAAACTCACATGAACTTAATATTGAGAGATTTTGAGAGTTTTTGTTGGAAACTGAATAACTGAAAACAATAAAGACAACAAACTTAAACATCAAGGCACCTTCCAATTCTGCAGCTTTCTCGTTTTTATCCGTCACTAGGCTGTAGCAATCTGAAAGTCTTGAAGGCGCTCCCTTGTACAAGACCTAAAGGATTAAATTCGAAGTTAAACTTAGGGAGGGATAATAATTTAATTTAGAGCGAAAAAATTCTGACAGTACTATGACTACGATATAATCATACTGGCTTCGGTCTTTCAGAAACCGAATATAACGCCCTTAAACAAGTCCCGCGGTACTGAAAGGAGTGTAGCCCAGCCACTTTCACACCCAACCGCCAGTCATTCATCGAATAATAAACAGCTGTCAGATAACCTGTGCATCCTCTATAACAGTTCGTAATAAGCTGTGTTTCATTTATGCTACGCTAAGGCCCTTCAGTATGTTACACCACATTGTTGTTAAACGTTAGAACTTCTGAGAACTATACTCAAATTGCTAGAGAGACCGGACAAACCATACCCTATTTCAAACCAAAATGTTCAAAATTTTTACTGTTTCAGACCAAAACGGCTCAAAAATCACAGCCCTTCAGTTAGACGGTGAACATACGTACATAGTATATAATTAATATAACTGGAGGACACGCGTGAGTTTGAAGGACGCTAGACTACACGAACAACGTGTGTGACTGCGAAAGTAGGAGTTTGAATTTTGCGCACGGAAGGTGTGAAATCTGTTAGCAACCAAGCCTCTTCCGGGCGTCCAGTTAGTTGGAGCGCAGCGCGAAGAATCGGCAAAGCAAAATAAAGGAGACAGACTAGACGCGTGGAGGAAGCCATTAGGTAAAATTCCCTTTATGCCAGGTGTCGGTCTTAAAATTATTTGGTGTCAGAGCAAGAACAGGCCCGAGTCTACCCTTCTCGCTCACCTGTTTATCAGACAGTAGAACCAACTGATTGAAGAGTTCAGCGGTTTTCCCCGGTAGGGCTTGTGTGGTGATAATCACCAAGTGTCCATTCTTACAAAGTCCTTTTAGAACGTTCAACATTTCCATGGAAGACGCGGAATCCAGACCTGAAATGACATCCACCGCAAAACTGTAATGTCTTGTAAAAACTCTGAAAATCTATTTACATCGTTTGATTCTGTATAACCGTACTCGACAGTCGTGCAAAAATCTTGTTAAAACAAGAAACCTATAGAGAGTTAGATGGGAATAGCATCCAACGAGACTTTTCTCTGAGCTCCTTTGAGACCCATCGACTATCATACCCGCCCGTCAAAATAAGAAACCTCTTTCGTCGATTTTTAGCAAAATCTGAGGAAACTCGCTTGAAATTTGATTGGAGGGCTCGTGTGCGGCTGAGAGGAATCAAACGAGGACAGTCATCAACCCTAGTCAATTCTCACTTCATTTTTTGCCTCTACTGACACTTTCAAAGATGTTCGTTAAAAGTTGTTAATTAAAGAGAAAATAATCAATAGTGAAAGGGGGTAAAAATTGAGAATGGCGAAAGAGTCATACCTAGCTCCCACGCGGTTATAATCTTACCATACCTGTGATTGGTTCGTCTAAGAAAATGGCGAGAGGTCTGGTAATGACCTGCAAAGCCAGGCACAAAAGGCGTTTCTGAAAAGAGAGAACAAAAAAGATCTCGAATAAAAAAACTGAGCTATTCAAAAACAAAAACAATGCATATTTGTCCTCTTCATGCTTACAGATGAGAGACGTAAATTGATTCTGGGTTTATTGTTTGCAGGTAGAGCGAGTACAGCTCCTTAGAAATATGTTAGTCGTGCTAAGTGACTGGGCCATGCGAAAAAAAAGTAAGGAAAAAAACTGGGGAAGAAATAGGACATACAAGCGTACAAACAAGCACAATTAATGAAAGTGAAGAATGATCATCGCAGTTAATTTTCCAATTTAAGCAATTGGAAAGAAGAAGCCTGAAAAAATCAGGGCTTCAACGGGATTCGAACCNGCATCCAACGAGACTTTTCTCTGAGCTCCTTTGAGACCCATCGACTATCATACCCGCCCGTCAAAATAAGAAACCTCTTTCGTCGAGTTTTAGCAACATCTGAGGATGCTCGCTTGAAATTTGATTGGGGGCCTCGTGTGCGGCTGAGAGGAATCAAACGAGGACAGTCATCAACCCTAGTCAATTCTCACTTCTTTTTTTGCATCCACTGACACTTTCAAAGAAGTACGCCTAGCAGATGTTCGTTAAACGTTGTTAATTAAAGAAAAAATAACCAATAGTGAAAGAGGGTAAAAATGGAGAATGGCGAAAGAGTCAAACCTAGCTCCCGCGCGGTTATAATCTTACCGTACCTGTGATTGGTTCGTCTAAGAAAATGGCGAGAGGCCTGGTAATGACCTGCAAAGCCAGGCACAAAAGACGTTTCTGAAAGAGAGACAAAAAAGATCTCGAATAAAAAAGCCGAGCTATTCAAAAACAAAAACAATGCATATTTGTCCTCTTCATGCTTACAGATGAGAAACGTAAATTGATTCTGGGTTTAATGTTTGCAGATAGAGCGAGTACAGCTCCTTAGAAATATATTAGTCTTGCTAAGTGACTGGGCCATGCGGAAAAAAAAGTAAGGAAAAAAATTGGGGAAGAAATAGGACATACAAGCGTACAAACAAGCACAATTAATAAAAAGTGGTCGAGGGCTGCGCACAGATTAACTAAAATTTCAAGTACATCGGTGTACCAGTCAATAGTTCGAAATGAGAGATCTGCAGGTCATTACCAGACCTCTACAAGCAAAACTTAAAGTGCGTTACATAAGTCAACAAACCTGCAGCTCAGTGAAGTTCTTCTTCCATGACCCGCCAAATGTTCTGTCTGCTACAGAAGTGAGGTTCAGCTATGAAAATAACAGAACTACGCTCAAACATTTACTAACGGCCACCTCCCTACAACGGCACCTCTCTACAGCGGCCACATATTTTCGTCCGAATTGAGACATTTGTTGTTATTTTAACCTCCCATTAATGGCCACCTGTCCACAATGGCCAGTTAACTCTGATAGGGTGACCGTTGTAGAGAGATTCGACTGTAATTAGTTAAACGTTCTTCTGGGAGCTCTTTTTCTTTTTTTTTTTCTTTTTTTCTGCGAGCTCTTGCGCTTTAATTTTTCCATGGATGTAGTCGCTACTCTCTTCTCTTTAGATTGGCAAAAATATAAATAATGAACGAAACAATGGCTCTAGTACATGGGCGCTATATTTTTTTTTCCTAATCGCCCTCTGCGAAAGAAACCTACATGAGGCCGGCCCTTAAATGAATATCTTGTAGAACAGGATCCATGATGATAAACTCACCATTAATTTAATAGGACCTTCACATGCTACGTATGGGAGGCGCGGTGGCCGCATGGTTAGTGCGCTCGACTGCGGATCGAGCGGTCCGGGCTCGAGTCCTGGCCGGGGACATTGTGTTATGTCTTTGGGCAAGACACTTTACTCTCACAGTGCCTCTCTCCACCCAGGTGTATAAATGAGTACCGGCGAATTTAATGGTGGGGGTAGCCCTGTGATGGACTAGCATCCTATCCAGGAGGGAGTAGAAATACTCCTAGTCGCTTCATGCTGCTGAAACCGGGATAAGCTCTGGCCTGATGGGCCACTTGCCTCGTATACAGGCTTAACCTTACCTCGCATGCTACATACCTCCGAAATTATTTGCTCCACTCGTTCGAACTTCGCCGCTTTGTCCGTGGTTCTGGACATCCTCATGAAAGCAGCTAATATGAGATAATTCCTGACGGTAATTTCTCCGTAGTAAGGAAAAGTAAACTTGGACAGGAAACGAGTTTTGCTCGCATAGCTAGCTTTGGCTTCATTTTGTCCAACACCGTTTACAAGCACGTGTTCCTTTGGAAAGAAAATTGCAAAGAATTATAGTGAAACGTGAAAAAGTCAGTATTCGATTCCTTTCCGTTTTCACTAAGGAGGAGAAATTTGAAAACGGGTTTTTCACTCTGAAAACGCATCAAATATTTTTCGTTCACATGACGCCGGAAAATTTGAAAACGCAACAATCACCGGCCATTTTGGATTTGTGTTTGAGGAAACTAGGTCAGGGAAATCACTTGATTATCGCTACGCCATCGTTTTCCAAAAACTCCCTTTTCAAAATTTTTTCCGTCCACACGAAAACAAAAAGCCGCCGTTTTAAAATTCCTCCAGTTTGAAGAGCGTTTTCGAAAAGCTCCGTTTTCGTGACGGATTAGTGGACGGTAGGATTAACCGTAGAAATATAGCTGCGTTTTCAAATTTCTCCTACGTAGTGTGGACGCGGCGTTAAACACTACGCTTTTCTGAGCAGTACAACGGTTTTGCAAGTGCGTTTTAAATCTTAGTACGGCAAAGAAATGTACAAAGATTTATAACGCACGTGCACAGCTATGGTGACGTTCTCGTTGCCTTCGTCGTCGTGGTTTGCTTAAGTTCCCTATTCTTTCTGTTCTTCAAAGTCAAACTCCGTGTAGAAATTTTGCGCAATAAAATTCTCTACGTCGTATGTTCTAAGAAACGAGGTAAAATCCTAAAACTTCGCAGACTTGCAAAATGTTAGCCTAAAGATAAATTATACCCGAATAGTGTGACTTTTGACACGCCTGACGTAATTATCAAAACGCAACGTTGTCTTCTGTTTGGGTTCAATGTGAACTTACCTTGTTGCATCTACACATCAATCTTCCACTCAGAATCTTCAGCAATGTCGTTTTGCCCGCTCCCTGTTTTCCTACTATGGCGATAAATTCACCTTGTTTAAAACACAATGTTACATTGTGAATCCCTCGCGCGTAAATAGCTTTTCTTTTGTCCTTAATGTCTTGATCAACGCCTTGTTTCGGATGGGCAATATTGTGATTGTCCCTCCGTTCTTCAGACTCGCCTCTGTCTGCATGATTTTTGATTTTTTCCACCTCATCAGCATGATGCTTTTGCCGGAAAACCATCCGTAAATATTGCACCGTTCTATAAAATATCGTGTTATATCCTTTGGCCGTGTAGTCATCAGAAAGCTGATCTTCATTCTTCCTTGAATGCTCTTCAACGTTGTCTTGTGCCGTTTCTGGCACATCGTTGAAGCTTTGCGGATGTTTTCGATCTTCTGGTGACGAGTACAGCAGTGTTATTGCCTCATTAGCTTCATAAACGGACACCTGATAAAGTTAATGAAAACCCTGATGTCAACAAATGAGGCCTCGTCCACACTACGCCGGGCGAATTTGAAAACGCAGCTCCATTCCTACGGTTAGGCTTACAGTCCGCACTAATCCGTCACGAAAACGGAGCTTTTCGAAAACGCTCTTCAAACCGGAGGAATTTGAAAACGCCGGCTTTACGTTCTCGTGTGGATGGAAAACATTTTGGGGAGCTTTTCGAAAACGATGGCGTCACGGTGATCATATGATTTCCCTGACCGAGTTTTCCTCAAACACAAATCTAAAATGACCACTGATCGGTGCATTTTAAAATTTCTCCGGCCTTGTGTGGACGGAAAACATTTGATGCGTTTTCAGAGTGAAACCTCCGTTTTCAAAATCCTCCAGCGTAGTGTGGATGGGGCCTAAATTCTTAATGCTCACGATACATTGCTTCAGGAATTAGTTAGAAAGTATTATTTTAAATTTTTAAATCCATTCATCAGTATCCTCAGGCTCGTATTAATTGGTCTTTCCTTCCAAAATGTGATGTGTGCACCACAATATCTCCCGACAGTTTTTCCTCCCCGAAGTATCGACATGACACCAAATAGTTTTGCATTTCTTCAAGTAAATAGAGCAGTAAATACATGTACAAAAAAGTAGAACTCATAAAAACTTTTACCTGTGAATTTTTAATATGCTCTTCAAGGTAATGTCTCCGAGATCGTTTTAGAAGAGCTAACTGGGACACAAAACAGAACTTCAACACAACACACGCCACTGTGAACAACAGGGACATACACAAGACAACACCGTTGAGCACCTCGCCCCAGTCCGTGGCAGTGTCGACAAATTTGAGCATCTCTGGACACGTTGGATTGCACATTGCTCCAAGACAGCTGTCAGTCACTCTCACGGGTTGATCACGTGTCTTTGCCCATTTATGGAGAGTAGAGTGTAAAGTGATTGTCTCGTGTCCACGTCTTATTGCTGTAGATAACCATGTCCCAGGCCTTTTGGTCATACTAAAGAATTTTTTCGAAAACAGTAGGCAAATATAGCACTGGTCAAATGGACACTCTGTAAATCGTTTAAGCATACGAAGATTATGAAGTCCTAAACAGTTAGTTAATTGGACATTCAGCTCAGGTTTACTCACAAGAAGTGCGTCACGGAGCTACGGTCATATAGAAAGCCCTCCTATCACCCCCCAACCCCCTCCCCCCCAAAAAAAAAAAATGCATGGGGGTTGCTTATAGAGCTGTAGAAAGATTATTCTTGAAAAATCCTTTGTCCTTGATTTAGTTCGGAAAAAAACCCAAAACCCAAAAGTTAATCATATTATATCTTAGCGTGAAATTTCTGTCATCCCGCATCCCGCCTCCATTTTTACTCTTATCCCGCATCTTGCCAAACCTATCTTGGACCCTTTGTTATGGAAAGCTACTTACCCAAATACGGCATTTCCTTGAGTGAACATTCTAGTGTAGTGTAGCACTCCATCCTGGTCTCGTAAACTTGACATACTAAAGAACGTGTGTTGAAAACACGCGGGGACAAAATAGCTGAAATTTGAAGATTTAATGGCAACCAAAGATTGATTCATAGCGCCTCCGTACAAATCAACCAGCGTAATTAAATCAGTTGCACCATTGTCCGCCACATTTTCTCTTTTGGAGAAACGCTCCACACTGTCGCCTATGATGTAGATATCAAACATACTGAACACGAAAAACGTTGGCACATTTGAAGGGTAGTATCCTCGGGTAAGCATACATAAAGCTGACAGACAGCACGGGTATCCTTCGGTAAAGTCTGCGCACGCGCGAGGTAACGGCTTGCCAACGTTGTAGAATTCCTCTGTAATCTTTGATGCGATGCTTTCTTGGAAGTTTATGAACCATCCACCATCGATGATCGCTGAAAGGTTTACATCTAAATTCCTAGACGACAGAAGGTCCTGTAACCACTGTACTTGATTGTAAGCGCCGACAGCGCCAGCGCTACTTCCAATCAAAACAATTTCGCGAGCACGGTCTAAGCCCTGCATTAGTAGGTCAAAAATAACGCTTTGAAATATAATTTTACCGCTGAAAACAAAATCATCTTCAGAGCTGTTGTTTTGGAAGCTTGATGCTTTTGTTTCTGTCCCAAGAAATGCATCACTGCTACAATAAGGAATCAAAACGCGAGAAAAGTCGTTAAATAATCCATTTTCGCTCTGAGAGGTCGACAGCAAATCTCTTCCCTTAATTGAGTCTGGCATGTGTTGCGAAGTCATTAAAACCTTTGTGTATTCGTTTCCAAATCTTGCAAGGCACTGAGCCTTCGTCAAACAGTAGGCCCCGCTCTCCAAAAATATGATCCACTTTGAAGTGCTCTGTACTCCCAAGAAAAAAACGGCAGGAGAACCATCGTTGCACAAGGCGTCTTTGTTGCTGAGCGTCTTCTTAAACATCGTGTCCGAACTGGAGACACCACAGTGAAACAATTGAAAAGATGAAAGCACAGCTGACAAGAACAGTCTTAACAACATCTCGACAAGGAGAAATTCCGGACGTTTTCTGTAACTCTAGGTGAAAACTTACAAGTATTGTCTAGTCTCATGGAGGAAGCTGAAAATGCTCGAGAAAACAACAGCAATCAACACAAGTTAACAGTTATGTTGGTTTTTACGAGATCAAAGCAAAAATAAGTGACTTATTCAATCTCAAAAATGTACCATAAAAGTGGCATTTAAGTTGCACTTAAGGCTTATCAATTATCTCCTCTTTCAATATTTATGCCCCCCGCTGGTTTTTTAGCAGGTTTATATGCTTTTAACATTCTCTTAGCTTGTCTTTGCGGGTGTCTAATTATATTCTAGAGAACTAAGTAATAAATAAAACGTTACCTAAAAGGTTCGTCATTAGTAAAAATTAGTAGATGTCAGGTTAAATTAGTTATCATTCTAACTGTGAAGATATTTGCAGTTTTGTAACGTCGTTACATAAATTCAGTAACTAAAGGAGGGCAAACATCGAGAGGAAAATCATGTCTCAAAACTAATAACTAGTTTTTTACTTTCGGGGAAACATGGCTAAAGAAATAATCGACCTATTTAACCTGACGTGAATTCAGTTAAACGTCTATATTCGTGTTCACTCAAAGGTTATTTGGTCAAAGATCCCATAATTTACTTAGTTATTAGACTGAATTATTCTTAAGTTTCTCGTTAAAGCGCAAACCGAACGAGCTATTTGCCAAACATTTTCTTGTTAACTCAGTCGTGAAGTTTATGGCTTTGGAAAAAAATCCACCTGTTAGAGGTCCTGTTCCATTAAAGCAACTGCAAACAAAGCCCGTGGCCTAAAGTCTTTGTTTCTCCTATGTGTGAAAGCCGAAAAAAGTCTAGGAAAAACGAGAAAGAACAAGAGAACGAAGCGGGCTTTTCGCAACGTGTCTTAACTCGCTATTTTCGTGCAAAAGAGATCATCTTACGAAACAAGGCAAAGGCATGAATGATCAACACAGTTATGTAAACAACTTTATTACGCAGTTGGGAAATTAACGCCTGAAAAATAATAAATTTATTTTCAGGCGTTATTTTCTCAATTGCTTAAGTTTGTGTACATAACTGCGTTGATCACTCATGTCTTTACATCTTTCTCCGCAGTTCAAATTTAAGATATTTCATATATACACTTGCACTCAAGAAACGATATTAAGATAACGCCAAAAGAATGTTTACATCTATAACAGCCGAAGACTTATCACAAACGTCGGCTTAGAAAAATATCTAGTTTGCCAGTGCCTTGGGGCATGTTACCATCATGTTTTTTTTTAATCTTACAGCATTGTCGCTTCTATTAATTATAATGACCAGTTCAACGGCAAATACCGTAAGTTTCCTATTAAATACATCTAGATAGGACATAAATGAAATGCTACCACCTAATAATATTTTCTCTGAATTAGCTTAGGTTTTAGTGAAAGTATGACGGGAAACGAAGGAAATGAAGCATTTTCAAGCCAGTACCCCCAGGGCATTTGACTAGTTCAGTCGCACTCCTATGAAGCGGCCACCCCTATTAGGCGGCCAATAATCGAAGTCCCGATGAGGACTTTTCTATTGTTTTTACCTCTGTTAAATGGTCAGCCCCCTTTAAGCGGTCGCTATCCATTTCCGTGACGGTGGCCGTTTAATAGTGTAGTTTGTCCCGGCGGTAGGGCATTTGTCAGCAGTGTAAATTTTTTTTCTTCACAGTCTTAATGAAAAGCAGTTTTTATGTTTTTGGGAATTTTTCTTCTTTGATTGTAGTTAGGAGGATAGGTAGCTGGTTGATTGTCATAAATAAACTGATGGAAATACCGTGTATAAATAAAGTTATCGTATCGTATCGTGTTTTGAAAAACCTAATTGTGGTCGCCCTCGGCCGGGTGGAGGGGGCATGGGCACAGCTGGAATTTACAGATGCATTTCTTCGCCTATCCTGCAAGCAGGCGTTTTTTTATTTTTTCTCTTTTTGGTGTCAAAAAAAAAAGAACGCCTGGTAGCAGGTTGTACTTCGCTGGACATTAGCCATCAATAAAACCCTCCTCCGCTTCCATGAGGTAATAAATGAATTATTTCCATCTGTTTTTCAAGGCAGTTCATCAATAAAATCAACATCTTCCGTGTATATCTTTCAGTCTTTTGAACACTTTTACGGCTGTTTATAGTACTTTATACGTTGTTTGCAAGA